CCCGAAAGGAACGACCTATATCCCCATCTGAGGGGGTAAATCAAATCGGCCAGTGGGGCCAAGGCCACGCCGTTGGGGATGGGGATCGGTGAAACGATACTCAATATCCTCCCCCTCTCGCCTTTTTTGTTATTAGTGCCATTCCCAGTTTTTATCATGTTTAATTTGGGCCTCATCCTCATCCTCGTCGTCGTTATCTCCCATCATCGTCATCATCATCCCTGTGGTATCCTCCTCGCCCTCCTCTTCCTGCTCCTCCTCCTGTGCCACTGCCCTCCTCTCCTCTTCCCCTACTCACCCTTCGCTCACCGGCGTCCGCCTTGGACGGGAAGGGGCGATGGATGAGTAGGCGTAGGCTTGGGCGTCAAGCTGTGTAGTTACTTTGGCCGGGTCAGCAGGCCCCTCACTTGGCATCGCTCGGACGTGTGCATTTTTCCTTCGGCGAGGACCATCGAGGAGCATCCTTGATCATTCGGCGAAGAAACCACGCACGAAACCGAACCAAACACAGGGAATGGACGTCCGAGCGATGGCCAGCTCACCACCCCCGCCTCGTTCCAGAACGTGCTTCTACCAGAGCCTGGAAGAGCTGGACACTGAGGGCCGCCGCGCGCTCCCACCGAGCGGCCTCGAGACGCTCGCGCGCGCGGCCCGGCTTCCACTGGCCCTGCGAAAGCAAGTATGCGTCGCACCCAAACGGGAATGCACCTTTGTGGGGGGGGGGGTCATTTGGGATCGAAGCCGAACACAACATCCCATGTGCTGGTGCACAAGCTTGCTCCAGATGTTACGGATCGGACCGATGTAGATCGAGGTCGGCTCGAGGAGGGTACCTTGGTGTTCTTCGTGCTTGTTAGACTTTGTAGTGCATCCTGGGGGGGATGCCCTCGACAGTTCATCTATCTGGCCGGCGGAGGGTCCCATATTCTTGAAGGATGTTCTCTTGTCCGAGGTCCGACCATATTATTGGTTGCCAGGGAATATGCTCCTCTCCTCGCACAAGCGGGACCGCATCTTTCAGGGAACGCTTGCGCGTGCGTGGGGGGAAGGGGGGGAGAGAGCGACATTATGTTTTTTCGACCGTGTCGAACAAGCAGTGCGCGCTCCGCCCACAAGAGATCCCGACCCTCGGACAAAAAAGGTGAAAGCGGTTCCAGGGCGACAGCAGCATTTTGACATGTGCGATGTTCCCCATTCCCGCCACTCATGTTTTAACGTGGATGGTCAAACATTTACCCGGAAAGGAATTGCATCGGCATCGATTTGCGTTTGATGGGTCGCATGGGCCCCCCCCCATGTGGGCGTGCTCTGGGGCGGCTGCGTGGCGGAGTGGGAGCATGCGTTCATGATAAAGAATGGTTTGACCCCGCGCAGGCGTGGACTCGATGGAAGGGCAATCGCGACAAGAGACGATCGGGGAGCGGCTCGACATCGTGAGAAGCACCGCCCGCTTCCGGGGCCACAGGAATCAGCACGAGGAGAAGGAAGGCAACATCATGACTTATGGATGGATTCTCATCATCAACCTTTTTATTCGGCAGCTGTTCTCCCTCACAGCCATTAAACTTACAAAGGGTAGCCTGGTCGTAATCGGAGCGGCGGCTCAGATGGTAGTCTTCTTTATAAACATTACTTGCCTGATCTTGTTCAAGCCCTACAAGAGTGCCAAGGTCGTGCATGTTGAGACCATCCTGTTATCTGCCCTCTTCACTATTCTCTGGGGCGCGGTGATGAAGATGCTGCTCACGAACAACATCAACGCAGACAAATACGCGACCACCATCAACAGGATCAACTGGTTCATCGAGTTCGCCGCGATGGGGCTCATGCTCTTGATCGCCGTAGTTCCAGGCTACCAGGTGTACCAGGTGTTCTCGAAGGCAATGCTGATGTTCTTGAGCCCAGACGCGACGCTCAACGAGATCTACCGCTCGCAGTACTTCGCCAAGCAGGCCGAGAGGGCCAAGGAGGACAAGGTCCGCCTGCAGGACACCCTGAGGATGAGCGACGGCGACCCGGCCGAGGTCCTGTCCAGGGGCATGCCGAGTTTGTCGGAGGCGTTGCAGCGCTTCGAGAGCTCTGGCGCGAACCTCGAGCTGGACCGTGACGCGCAGAGGAAGACCATTCGCCGGCTGGCTGCGGTGCTGCAGCGCGCGATGCAGAACAAGAAGATGGCCTACGATCACGATCACGCGGTGGACAATTACATGCGCTGGGAGGGGGAGGACGAGGAGCAGGAGGGCGAGCAGGAGCAGGAGAAGGAGGGAGGGGGGAGGCCATGGCGGCAGGTTGGAGGGGGAAGGGGGTAGGAGATTGACGGAGGACAGTGAGAGAGATGGAGAGAGACAGAGAGCGAGAGAAAGAGAGAGAGAGAGAGAGAGAGGAGAGAGGGAGATGAGAGAGATGTGTGAGAGAGAGAGAGAATCAAACAACTAAACACTAAACTATACACACATATGTATATATATATATATATATATATGGGGAGAGAGAGGGAGAGCGAGACATAGAAAGACGTAGAGAGAGAGAGAGAGAGAGAGAGAGAGAGAGAGAAAGAGAGAGAGAGAGGGATAGAGAAAGATCGCAACAGTGCGGACGCGGGTGTCCGCGCCTGGCGGGTACAAGCGCCGCCTGGGCCACCCTATCCTGTCGGGAGGTGCCGCAAGTGAATGGCAGGGGTGGCCGAACACCTCCCCCCTTGGCGCGGTCGAAAAGACCGCGACAGGAAAGGCTGGCGGGTTGTGGCGATTAGGGTGTGGCACGCTCCGCCTGCACACCTGGGCGTGAACTTATACAGCTGCTTCTAGCACGCTTTGGTATGCGCGCCTCGGAGCCCGTAGAAAAGGAAGGCGCCGCGTTGGGGCATCTTCCGTAGCGGCCCAAGGCGCAGGCCGTGGAACGGAGTGCCAGGCGTTCCCACAGCGCACGAGGTACGAGCGGGGTAGCGGCTGGTGCCCCAGCTTCGAGCGTCAAGTCGCGCCTGGATGGTTTTCTGGAGCGTGCCCCCCAGAAGAGCAAGTCGTTTGGAAGGTTTGTTCGAGGTCGCTCCAGGCGGACTGCGCTCGAAGCTGTCGACGAGAGGTCTCGGCTGCCTGGATACTCCGCAGCATGTGTGCGAGGCTGGCGGCGCGTTCTTGCAGCACCGCGGTGCTTTCAAGAAGGCCTGGCTCACGCTCGCGAGCAGGCTGCTGCCTGGCGGCGGTGAGGCGATGGGTGAGGGCCCGTCGCCGGCCTGTGGGCCGTAGTGCAGTAGGTAGGGCTAGCCGCCTCAACCAGGAGGGTGAGCTTAGGGGTCGCCACGCCCGTTCCCCGGTGGGGCCGGGGCGTGCGCCGGGTGGCAGGGCGTGCTGCGCTCGGGGGCTCCGTGTGCGCCGGGGCACTGGCCAGCTGAGCGGGTCGGGGCGACGGTGCTCCCCGTCAGAGCGCGCTGTCCGCGGCCCTTCGCCTGCCCCATCGCAGGGGATATGTGGGGGGCGTTGCCCGCGGCAGAGTGGGCGAGTGCGTCCGAGCTCATGGGAAGTGGCCCGCCGCCACTCGTGGGGCGCACCGCGGCTGGCAGGCGTGGAGCTGCTGGAGCATGTGCCGGCAGTAGGGGCCTGGTGGACCCTCTTCCATCGGGGCGCCGTCTCCTGGAGCCTGGTGGGTCGTTGGTGCGGGCCTTGCTCGTCCGCGTCGTCGTGGCGCGTGTGCGAGGCGTTGGGTTCGCCCAGAGGGCTGGGCCTCGCGGCCCGTCGGGGGGTCACCATCGGCAGCTTGCAGGCACTTGGCAGCGTGAGCCTGGTGGTTTTTGTGGCCTGGTGGTTCCCGTGGCCTGGTGGCTCCCGTGGCCTGGTGGCTCCTGTGGCCTGGTGGCTCACGTGGCTCACGTGGCTGGGTGTTGTTCTGTCCTGGTGGACATCGTGAGGCGGTTCCACTTGGCAGGGCCGCGTGCCGCCCTGACGCTTGAGAGGGTCGGCGTGGCCGCCGCGGCACTGCTCGGCTCCGCTGCACCACTGGATGCCGCAGCGGTGTCCGTGCATGCCACACGGCAAGGGGATGGGCCGGCCTTTGTGCCCGCCGGGACGGGGCACACGTCCCGAGGCTCTGCCTCCTCCCGGCCTCGTTCTGAGGCTGCGCCCCCCTTTTCCTCCCCCATCTCTGGTCAATTCAAGCTTCGCGCGGCCCGCTTAGCTTCGACCGGAAGAGGTGCGCTCTCGACCCGCGAATCAAAAAGTGCCCGCCGGGGCGGGTGGTGGCGGCATCGATCGCAGCCGATGTGGATTGCTTCAAGCGTGCAAGTTCCCCTGCAGACTTTGTACCGGCCGGAGCCGGTCTGGAGGAGGCGGCGCCCGTAGTCAGAGGCTGGACGCCGTGGTGCTGCCCGTGCGGCGCGCGGGGCACGGTGGCCCAGTGGCCGCAACGATGTCGTCGACGTAGGTCCGCGACGTCCACGCGGAGACCGAGAAACGACGAGCCTGCCGACGAGCCGGGGTGCGCTCTCAACTGTCCTTGAAAAACCGAAGGAAAGGCTTATTCTCACCCCTGGTCGTACCCATAACCGCATCAGGTCTCCAAGGTTAGCAGCCTCTGGTCGATAGAAGAAAGTAGGTAAGGGAAGTCGGCAAAATGGATCCGTAACTTCGGGAAAAGGATTGGCTCTGAGGGTTGGGTATAGGAGGTCGCGCTGCCGTGCCGGCCCCTCGGGGGGCCGCCGAGAGGAACCCGGCCGTCCTCCGCACGGCGCGGGGCCGCAGGGTTCGGCGGCGAGCGAGGGGGGGGGGAAGCGGGAAGGAGAGGGCCTTCGCAGAAGCGAAGGCCTCTGGCCCTCTGAGGGCTTTGCGCCGTCTTCGGGGAGGACCGAGAAAAAAGCTCCTCAGAAGGCCCGTGGACCTCCGAGCCTTCTGAGCAGGCCCGCCCCTTCCGACTTCCCCCCCAGCCTCCCCGCCGAAAGATCGCAGACATCGTCAGTGGTCACCGAGCGCGTTCCACGACTCGCAAAGTGCCTACTCGCAAACGTCCGAAAACCACATGTCTGCTTCGATGTAATGTATCGTAGGTCACCTTCGCCTGCGATTGCGACAAAAAAAGTAATCCCACCAGCCCATAGCCCATCCAGAAACGATACCCAGGCGAGTTGTCTTGATCAGGCATGTGGGAGAGCGCATAGTGGAATAGAGGCTGGGAAGCCGTGATACCCAAAGAGGGGGATGATAGAGGAGGCACCAGGAGGAGGAGGAGGAGGAGGAGGAGGAGGAGGAGGAGGAGGAGGAGGAGGAGGAGGAGGAGGAGGAGGAGGAGGAGGAGGAGGAGGAGGAGGAGGAGGGGGAGGAGGAGGAGGAGGAGGAGGAGGGGAGGGGGGAGGCGGGAGAAGGGAGAAGGGAGGAGGATACGTACCCGAGCCGCAGCGTGTTCAGCGGTAGTATTTGGATGGACAGCTATTGGAAACTAAAACAGACCCCGTGTGCAAAAACGTTGGGGCGCCGGTCGCCTGGGGGAGGGGGTGTTCATTAATAAGAAAGAGTGATGAAGACGCCCTTCTCGCCCGCAAGCTGTCTCGCTCACTCCCACCCGCCCGCCCAGCACAGAAGTTACACCAGAGCCTCAGCCTGTTGAGCGGTAGTCTTTGGATGGACAGTTATCGGGAACCAAAGCAGACCCCATGTGCGCGACGCTGGGGCGAGGTGCGCCGGGCGTGCCAGGCACGCCACACGCGCCAGGTGCGCCAGGTACCCCTGTGGCCCAAGCCTGCCAGGCACGCCTGATGCGCCAGATGCGCCACGTGATCCACGTGCGCCATGTGTGCCGCATGCTCCAGCGGCGCCAGGTGCGCCACGTTCGGGGCACGCGCAGAGTGTGCTGCCACGTGCGCCCGCGCACGTGACAGCACACATCGGGAAACATGCCGACTCCCACCATCCCTGTCGAAAGCCAGTGCGCAATCGCGGCGGGTAGGCCATCACGGTGTCTGGTGGGGCTGCACACAACTGGCCATATGCAAGCACTCCCGCTGTCCTTGTCAAAACTTGGTGGGCAATGATCGCGGTTTGGCCGCGCATGATGTTGTTTAGCCGCTAAGTGTATTTTGTATCGTTTTCTGCCAGGCATGGTGGCCTTGCGCGGAGCAGGCAATATGACAGCACCCCCGCCGTTCCTGTCAACAAAAGAGTGCAAGTGCTCGCGGAGCCCACGAGCATGACCCAAGATTTTGCCCCAGATGGAGTGTTGATCAATAGGTCGTAGTGATAACCCTCCCCGAAGGCGAAAACAGGGGTTGGCAGAGGAAATTCCCTAGCCCACTCACGCCATGAAGGGGCTGGTGGGATTCCAGTGCGTGGACCTGGTGGCACCCGTGGCCTGGTGGCCCACTTGGCGCGGTGGTTCCCGTGGCCTGGTGGCTCCCATGGCCTCGTGGCTCATGTGACTCGCGTGGCTGGGTGCTGCTTTGTACTGGTGGGCATCGTGAGGCGGTTCAACTTCGTAGGGCTGGATGTCGCCCTGACGCTCGAGAGGTTCTGTATGCTGGATCGCCGTGGGTGGCACTGCTCGGCCCCGATGCACTGGATGCTGCAGCGGTGTCCGTGCGGGGTGCAGCGGCAACTCTTGCAGAGGAGTGCCCCGTGGAGTGTTCCGTGGATTGCCCCTTGGAGTGCTCCGTGGAGCGGCCCGTGGAGTGCTCCGTGGAGTGGCCTCATGGTCTGGCGGGTGGCTCCCGTGGCCTGGTGGCCTCGTGGCTGGGTGCTGCTTAATCCTGGTGGATACCTTGAGGCGGTTCAACTTCGTAGGGTTGGATGTCGCCCTGACGCTCGAGAGCGTCGGTATGGCCGCCGTGGCACTGCTCAGCTCCGATACGCTGGATGCCGCAGCGGCGTCCGCGCATGTCAGGGCTCGTAGAGTACCCGACCGTGAGGCTGGCCAGCGACCTCTTGTGGCCAGACGCCTTGGTCAGAGGGCTGGGCCTGGTGGTCCGTCTGGGGGTCACCACCGGCAGCCTGCGGACACTCGGCGGCGTGACTTTTTTCGCGGTTTGAAGGGTGGAATGAAATGGTTTAACGGGCGAAGAACGGTATAACATAATTTTTTTCGCTGTCGGAGGCGCCTGTCCCTGGGCGGCTGGAAAGTTTATACCCTTACGGTGGCACCGTAGGGGTATAAACTTTCCAGCCGCCCAGGGACGGGCGCCCCTGACAGCGAAAAAGTCTATGTTATGCCGTTCTTCGCCCGTCAAATGGTATTTGCTACTCTTCTGTAGAGTCACAGTCTCTCCTGAATTCGGTGAATTGTGTGGGCCTTCCAAGAGGGCCTCCAGGCCTGCTTTTGGGTGTTTGGGAGGCCGTTTTGGGCCTCTTTGTCGCCTCTTGGAGTTTTCCTGGGGGCTGTTGTTTGCTTCTCGAGGCAATGTTGGGCCGTCTTGGCGGCCTTGGTGGCCTTCCTCGTCGGTCTTGGAAACCGCGGGGTGCCTTGGAGAGCTGCCACGGGCCTCCTCTCTTGGGGCGCGCGCAGCTGGCGACGGCCGTCGGGCCACAGGCTCTGAAGAGAGGCTCTGGACAGATGACACGTGGTGCGGTGGGTGTGGGCGTGGCCAGGGAGGACGAGGAGGAGGAGGAGGAGGAGGAGGAGGAGGAGGAGGAGGAGGAGGAGGAGGAGGAGGAGGAGGAGGAGGAGGAGGAGGAGGAGGAGGAGAGGAGGAGGAGGAGGAGGAGGAGGAGGAGGAGGAGGAGGAGGAGGAGGAGGAGGAGGAGGAGGAGGAGGAGGAGGAGGAGGAGGAGGAGGAGGAGGGAAGAGGAGGAGGACGAGGACGAGGAGGAGGAGGAGGAAGAGAAGGCTGTCAAGGTGTTCCCCGCGTGGCGGGGCCTGGTCGTCTCGCAGCCGCCAGAACTCAACGGGGGCAGTCTGCCGCAGGCGTGGCAGCCCAAGCTCGGGCGGCCGCCCACACGTAGTTTTCTCGCTGGCTTCTGTTCTCTCTCGTGTCGGGGGGCCGGTTGTCAAGCGGTCTGTGGGTACTCCAGATTTCGTAATAAAAGGGAGGGGGTCTGGACCCTCCAAGACAAGCCATTTCAGACCCCCCCCTGTGGGGGAACCCTCCAAAACATCGTCCCCAGACCCCCCCAGGCCCTCCAAGATAGCCTGAAAGAGAGCCCCCCCGAAATGAGACCCCCCTCCCTTTATTACGAAATCTGGGGTAGCGATGAGGCGGAGTTCAGTAGGTTGTCTTCTCGGCTTGTCAAGGCGGTTCATATGCTTGGTGGCGGGCCCGTGCTCAGGGAACGCCCTGGGGGTCACAGGGGGCGGGATGAACACCGGCGGGTCCAGATGCCTAGTGGGAACCCGCTGACTCGGTTTGTCCTTAACGGGAGGAGGTTTGTCACGCTGAATGGTGAGGTTGTAGGTGTGGCTGGCTTTGTTAGCAATCAGGAACATCTCCTGAACGTTGTCGGCCTCGTCAGCAGTGGTGAGAGCCGTCCGATACTTGCGGGCGATGATCTCCCCGACCGCTCGTTGCTCCTCCCACGGCATGTGAGCTGGTGAGGGTGGGTAAGGGGCGGGTGCTGTGGACGCGTGGCAATCTGGTCGAAGCGCCGAAGGTCCATGGGGACCTGCAGCCCCAGCTGTCGTGTGGCAGGGAGGTTTCCGGAGCAGAGCGAAGTCGGCCACGAGGTGTCGTCCCGCGGTGCTGGTGAGAACGCAGTCCATGCGCGTGGCTCTGTGGCGAACCCAGCCCTTGCTCTTGGCAAAGCTTGGCGCGTTAGCATCTGGGAGGTCTTGACAGACGTTGTGCCACCCTTCCTGGGGCATGCGCGCGAGAAGCGCGTTGGCGTCCAGATCAGTATTCGCATCCAGGCACAGCGAGTAGGGGGCAGAGCCGACCCTGGAGGCAGCGGTGGCGGCTTTGCGAAAAAGCTCGGTGCTATCTCCGTCGGCATAGCCGTAGAGAGAAGCCACGTACATGCCTTCTGGAGCGAAACCGCGTCTTCTGCGAGTTTGGCCGTGCACGGCAAAAAACATTCGTGCCACCTCGTGGTGTTGCGAAGGTCGGAAGCTGCGGGTCGTCAGTGGCCGTGTCGGCCAGCGCTGATTGCGCAAAGATGGCAACCCCACACTGCTTGGAGGCAGTAGATGCCGTTGTGTGGTCGGTGCCTCCGCTGCGGTCCTTGCGCAGGCATGGGCCTGGCGGTGGTGAAAGGCCCCGGCGGGCCGTCCAAGTGCCGTGGGCCGCAGAGCTAGCACGGCGCGTGTACACAGGGAGATGCCTGGCTGGATGCTGAGTTTCTTGCGTCGCAGGACTGGCGGTGTGGTGCTGTTGTTGGAGCTGGAGGCCAGTGTTCCAGTTTTTCAGGAGGGGCACAAAAACACACAGACACAATGAATCGTCGACCCCCCAGAAAATAGGGGAACATATGGGAAGTGGGGGGAAGACAAAAACCAAGAAAATATGGGAAATTATGGGGAACATATTTATTTGTGTGTATTTTGTGTGTGTGTGTGTGTGTGTGTGTGTGTGTGTGTGTGTGTGTGTGTGTGTGTGTGTGTGTGTGTGTGTGTGTGTGTGTGTCCTGGGGCCCCTTCAAGTTTGCCTCGAGGCAGGTGGCGCTGAGGCCTGCCAGATGGATGTGGTGCGGTCCGTCCCCGGCAGGGTGGCTCGGGTCGGCCCGCCTGCGGCGAGTTGTGGTGGCGCTGTCTGCCTTACAGTCAAAAACCCTAATATGGACGCGCGACTTTGCTCAGGGTACCCTTGCGTCCTTGCTCAGGGTACCCTTGCGTCCTTGGGGTTTTCGTCGTCCGCCGCCCCAAACATCCAAACTTCGGCTTCCAAGGGTCTTGCGTCCTTACCGCGCGTCCTTACTAGGGTTTTTGATTGTAGTTTTCTTAGGGTTTTTGGGGGGCGGCGGGGCGCGTTGGGAGACTGTGGTCTGTGCCCTGGGCCCGTGTGGCTTGTGCTTGCCGTTGGTTTGCATCTCCCTGGGTCCCTCGTCCCGTGTCCATGCCTGCGGTGCAGGGGCATCTACGCCTATAGCCTATAGCC